AGCCGGGTTTTAGTCTAATTAGATTATTAAATAGCTTAATGTGTATTAAGTAGTAAATATTTAATAAAATTTTAGTATGTGGTTATTAAAGAAAAAATATATATATATATATATACTATATATATATATATACTATATATATATATATGAGTATTATTTTGTAAATCCGTATAATATACTAATTAAAATTTCTATAAATAAAAATCAAATCTTTGCTTATAGATAAAGATTAGTTTATATCAAAATTTTACTATAAGCCAAAGGTAATTCTATAATTAAAATTTTAAAAAATAGTAATACTCCCACATATATATACTAGTATATAAATAGTAATTATCTAAATGAATAAAATAAAAATCTTATCTAAAATTAAATTTTTAGAATAATTTAACTTTTGAATAATTTTTACATTAATTGCTAATACTTCTTGAGTTCTGAAAGAACTTGAGAAGAAGGTAGATTATATTCTGATCATAATGTTTTTAAAAAATCAATAAAAAATAGATTACTAATTACTCTCCATAATATACCACATATAACAAAAGTTTTAACATAAGCTTTATTAATTTCATTAGTCCTTTCTAATGTAAAGTTTAGAACTTTCATTAAAACCATATATTTTTGTTTGATGAATATTTTTAATAGATTCTTCTCTTGAATTTTTAAATCTTGCTAAAACCTTGTTTAAATATATTTGCTTAATATTACTTAGAACATTAGGACAATTGTTAGCCAAATGTTCTTCAAAATCTTGAGGAGATCCTTTATTTTGAGAATAAGAACAATAATTGCAAGTTCCTTGATAATGTTCTTTAGAAACTTCTTTTTTTTTAATATGAATATCCCAAAGACTTGCAGGTGGTCTTTCTTCAGATTTTTTATTTCTTGAGACATATTTTAAATAATTTTAAATTAAATAATAAATTAAACTAATTAAAATTTAATTTTAAATAATTGTATATAAACAGATAATATACATTTTGCCAACAATTACGTTATTAATAACTTAGTTTACTAACAATTAATTTATAAACAAGTTTATTTTACCAATAATTAACTTAACAATAAGTTTAATTCACTAACAATTATTTCATTGACAGCTTATTTTACTGTCAAAGTAATTGTGGTTATTATTATTAGTGTAAGGTTAGTGTAACTTATAAAAAATACTTGTCAGTAAAATGAGCTATTATTGAAATAACTTTTAGTGAAATAAACCTGTTAATAAGTTAATTGTTGGTGAAATATACTTGTTTGTAAATTAATTGTTTGTAAACTTAGCTGTTGGTGAAGTGATTGTCAGTAAAATAACACATATATAATAGAACACAAAGCAAGAATTTTATATAGCAATTTATAGAATCTGATCAATTCACTTACAACTACTTCATAGATACTAAATTTTACTAACAATTACTTATTAACAAGTTCATGTCACAGACAGTTTATTTTACCAAAGCTCTAGTCAATATTATGTAGAGTTAAAGCTAGTATAATTTATAAAAAAAATTTGTTAGTAAAATTAATTTCAGTGAAATAGACTATCAGTAAAATAAACTTGTCGATGAATAATTGTTGGTGAAATGTGGTGTCTATAAGGTGATTGTTGGTAAAATAATACAGACCCCAAATTATAGTATTTGTTTAAATATAATAATTCTTATACTTACAACTACAAAAAAGTTTATATTTTAAATTTTAAAAATAATTAACTTACGGCACTAAAAACATTATATATGTGCAAATAAATATATATATATACTTATTTTAATATTTGTACATTATAAATACAATACAGATTTTATAATATCAAATTTGTATTAATATATACCACACATATGATGTGGAAATTTAAAAACCTTAATTTCTTTTAAGTATAAAGATAGTGCAGATATTAGTAGCAAATTTCTTAAAATATTATGAAGATCTAATCTTTATCTCTTTATATAAAAATAATACGCCAAGATCAAAGTAAGTTCAATAGCAACTATTTTATATATTATTGCTAAAACCTAAAATAAGCTATATAATATGAAATTTAGTTATATATTTAATAAAACTAGATGGCGGCATGATGTCATTGTACAAAACTAGGACAGATTATTTAAGAGTAAGAATTTACAGGTTTTTATTTGAAGCTATGGTTACTTTTAGATTACATTTATAAGATTTTATTGCATATATTATTATATATAGTTATTTTTTAAACAAACAATGCATAAGCTTAAAAACTTAAATAAATTAATAATTAGTCATGTGTTATATTTAATTAATAAAAATGTGGTCTCAAATAGCTTTGCAAAAATCTGAAATTCTGTGACAAAGAACCAGCCTATTATACATATTTAGTTTGTGCAACTTCAAAGATCAGTAGTAAAAAAAATATTTTAATAAATGATTGTCATGCATATTAATCGAGAAAATCCATTTTTAGAGTCTTGTAAGCAGAGTTGGTATTGGACAATGTCCAAATAAATTCAATTGGATTTTTGGACATTTGGACATTGGACAATATCCAATTTGTCTAATTAATTTTAATGATTTTTTGGACTATTGGGCATTGGACATTGTCTAATAAAAGTATCAAATTAATTAACATATATTCAATTATATAAATTGGACATATATCCAATTGTCCAATAATTTTATTGGATAAAATTTGGTAATATAAAAAATGGCTAAATATATAACTAAATAAATTCTAATGATTTAAACAACTTGAATACTAATAAATTTAAGTTATATTCTAAGTTCGTTTGAGAGTTGAAAACGGTATTGACTATATATTGTCAAGCAAATATTTACTATATTTTAAATTTTGCTTTCACTAAAGTTTTTACTATCTAAAGGTTGGGTTTTAATTATTTTAGTTCTTAATTTAAATTTAGATCACGGCTCCGATCATAATTAATATCATGCGTCACAAAATTAACTCTAATAAATTATTAAATTAATTATTGTTTTGCTATATAAGGGCTTTTATTTATGTTTAGTGCTTTACCTTTTAATTGGGTAAGCATCTTTTATAACAAAATTGACAGTAAAAAAATAAGCACTAAAAAGATGAGATTAATAAAAATTATTATTACGAAGTTTTTTTATTTACTGTTAAAATAATAGGCTCTAAAAAAATGTGATTAATAAAAATTTTTATTGCGAATTTTTTTTATTTACTGTTGTCTGTATTGTTTCACAACAATCACTTCATAGACACCACATTTCACAGACAATTATTCTTTACTGACAGTCTATTTCACCGAAGCTCATTTCACCAACAAGTTTTTTTTATAAATTACACTAACTTTAACTCTGGTTCTAACCTAACTCTAATTATATTTATCAGAATTACTTTGTCTATAAAATGAGCTTCGGTGAAATAAACTGTTAGTAAAATAAATTCGTCAGCAAGTAATTGTCAGTGAAATTAAGAAGTGATTGTCAGTGAGTTGATGGGATCCCATTAAAAATTAGTATAAACATACTATATAAGTGCAGAAGCTTTCAAAGTGGATCCTGCTTTCTTTAACATTATACCTAAATAAGTTAGAAATGCAAATATACATATATTAGGTCTAAATTAATCGGATCTGTATTGTTTCACCGACAATTACTTCATAGACAACACATTTCACAGACAATTATTCATCTACAAGTTCATTTTACCAATATTATATTTTACCAAAGCTTATTTCGTAACATGTTTTTTTTTATACACTAACTTTAACTCTGGTTCTAACCTAACTCTAATTATTTACCAGAATTACTTTGTCTGTAAAATGAGCTTTAGTGAAATAAATTGTTGGTAAAATAAATTTGTCAGCAAGTACGTAATTGTCAGTGAAATTAAGAAATGATTGTCAGTGAGTTGATGGGATCCCAGTATAAACGTACTATATAAGTGCAGAAGCTTCCAAAGTGGATCCTGCTTTCTTTAACATTATACCTTAATAAGTCAGAAATGCAAATGTACATATGTCAGGTCTAAATTAATCAGATCTGTATTGTTTCACCAACAATCACTTCATAGATAACACATTTCACAGACAATTATTCATCTACAAGTTCATTTTACCAATATTCTATTTTACCAAAGCTCATAACAACAAGTTTTTTTTTTATAAATTATACTAACTTTAACTCTGGTTCTAACCTAACTCTAATGATATTGACCAGAATTACTTTGTCTGTAAAATAAGCTTTGGTGAAATAAACTGTCAGTAGAATGAACTTGTCAGTAAGTAATTGTCAGTTCAGTGAAATGTGGTATCATTGTTGGTGAGTTGATGGGATCCCAAATTAATCAGTATTACAACGTTAATTCTTTAAATTCACAGGGTTTGAACCAGTCTGGTGGTGGGCACTACCATATTATTTTAATACTGACAATTCTTGCAGAGTTTGAACCAATCTAATGGTGAACGTTACTGTATTTATTTTAATACTTTCGATTTTGAACCAATCCAACAGTAGGCATTACCATATTTACTTTAATAACTTTCAATTATACAGGGCTTGGACCATTCTGATGGTAGTGTTACCATATTTACTTTAAGAATTTCGAATCATGCAGAGTTTGAACCAATATGGCAGTGGGTGTTTCCAAATTTACTTCAACATTTTCAATTCATGCAAAGTTTGGATAACATGATCATTAAAGTGTGCAATAGGCATTATTAAAGGTGCTAGACTACTATTGGTAAAATTGGTATTGAACTGGTGAAATTCGGTGAAATTAATTTCACCAACATTTCTGGACGCTACATAACTGTAGTTTCCATCATATGAAAATGCACATTCATTTTTAAATAATTTTTATATAAGCACATTCTTTGTATAATTTCTTTATAAAGGTTCTATAAGTTCTGATGGTGCTATTAAGAGAGTACAACTGTATATTAATGATTTCGATTCATATAGAAATTGGATGGTGTGATCATTATAATTGGTAATGGCCGTTATTACAATTACTTCACTATCTTCAATTCATGTATGGTTCAGGATTATTATCTAATTTGTGTGAATTTGATATAATAAAAGTAAAATTATGGTAAGCTTGCCAAGCGATAAATGCTTTCTTTGAATCAATATTAATGTAAACCAATCTGTATATGCACAATACATATGCCAAACTTCACAAAGAAAAAACAACGACAATAATTATAACTACAATTCATTTTTTCGATCCCTTTCATATAATAGCAGCCTTTTTAATTTTTTTTGATATTCAACCTTTTATTTTTACGATGGGAAGAAAACCACATAGGCTAACTAATTTATTTATTATTTTGGATGAAAAAGCTAATAAATGCAATAAGTTTGCAGTTTGCAAATTTTGCATTAAAGGTTCTATATATGAAGAAGCTTATGAAACCCGAATTACTAATACCCAGTGAGAATGCAAGCGCCATCTTACCTCTTGCCAAAATTTTATTGCAGAATATCCTAATGAAATAGAGCGCAATAAAATTTTAAATCCAATATCGACAGATAATAATTCTCAAGAAAGTGAAAGTGAACAAGATTATAGAAAGTATTAAATTTATTAGCATTATTATAGCATACAATATGTTTAGTACACGTAATATAGTGCATATCTAGCAATTTGATTAGCTTGCAGAAAGTTCAACAAAAATTTTCATATGTACTATATATACATAGTGTGCTATACGTATGTACTTACATGGCACATCTCTAGTCATAATGATATATATCTAATTCTAATTTAATATATTAAAGAGGTTTCTAGTGAAAATAATTCAAATAAACGAGCTCGATTGACAGATCCAGACCAACTGGGCCTAAATATAACATTAGATGGTTATTTTCAAAAACCATTATCAAGCAAGCAAAAGGAAAAACTTAAACAATTACTTTTAAAAGCGACTATTTCATGTGGCTGGGCTTTTTCATGGGTTGATAACCCTGAAATTAAAGAGCTTTTTTATTATTTAAATCCTGCAATCAAATTACCAAATCGCAAAACACTCTCAGGTCGAATTCTAACTAAAACTGCTATAACTTCTATGAAATTACAAAAAAAAGATATCCAAACAGATAAGCTTGGTGTTACTTTAACATATGATAGTTGGAAAAATGTTAAAAAAGAGAGTTTATTAGGAATTGCTTTAATTAATTCAAAAGGAAAAACATTAATTTGAGGTGCAGAAGATATTTCAGGAAAGCATACAAAATGGCCTGAAATTGTAAAAATTACTAATGATCTTTTTATAAAACTTGAAGAGGATAATATTAATGTTAATTGTCTTGTAACAGATTCAGCTTCTGAATTTATAGCAGCTCGATCTTGTCTTCGTACCTTTCATATTGATAAAGCTTTTATTCCATGTTTTGCTTACCAAGCAAATCTTGCTGTTGGAGATATATTCCAATACTCATCAACTTTTAAAACTATTGCAAAAGAAGCAATTAGGATTATAACATTTTTTAATCGATCTACATTTTTTTTGGGACAACTCCATGATAAACAGATTATAGTATATGGTAATAAGTATATATCTTTTATTTTACCAAATGCAACTCGACGGAACAGTCATTATTATTGTTTTTCAAGCCTTATAAAAACACGTACAGCTCTTAAAGTAAGTCTTTTTTTAATAATAAAACAAATAAGTTAACATATTAGTATAGTAATTATAAATACATTTTATTATTATTACTATATTATAAGCAAATTTTTTAAAAATTTGAATCTAACTAATTTTTATATTTAAATTGTTATCCTATAAAAAAAGCAATACAAAATTTAATAAAAGTTTGCAGAACTTAAATATTAAATTTTGTATTGCTTTTTTTATAGATTAGTATAATATATATTTATTTCTTAGAATCTTGCAAATAAAATAGATGAAGGTTTGGATAACAGTCTTTCTGGTTTTCCTGAAGATATTCTTATAAATATTCTTGACAACAATTGGTGGTCTAATTTATGACAACTTGAAGCAATCTTCTTCCTTATTGTTTAATATTAAATAAACTACAATATGATCAGGCCAAACTTTATGATGTTTTACATGGCTTTGGATGGATTGTACAAATAATTGAAAACCTTTCTGATTCTGACCTATGTACTAATCTTTTAACACGTATAGAACGCCAATGGCAAACATGGGAACAACCATTATTGCTATTAAGCTTTTTGCTCTATCCTGAATATCATGATCACATGTTCAATAAACAAATACGTAACTTAACCTTTCCTCATCTTGGTTAATGGTTATTATATTATTATAAGGCTTGGTTTAAAATGAATCTGAAATCCTTTTAAATGAGTTACAACTATATCGAGAAAAGGAATATCCATTTTGTGATGAAGATTATAGTCAATTCAAAAAAAAGATGATGTTCTTTCTTATTGGAAATTTGTTAGTGGATATACCGAAGAATTACACCTTGTTGCACAATACATTTTTTTCAATATGCATTAGTTCTGCATCTATCAAACGGTTATTTTCTACTATGGGTTGGTTGTATAGTAAACGAAGAAATAAATTAAAGGTATTTTATTTTATTTATTACTTATCACCATCATTTTTTCATGAAATGACGTTTTAAGTTATATTACAATATGTACTAATTAGTATTAATTTAATTTTGCAGCATAAAAAGGTAGTTGCAATGCGTCAAATACGTAGTAAATTAATTCATTCACAGTGATTAAAGGAAATTTATAAAACTAAAAAAAATTTTCTTCAAACGTCAATTGCAATGCATGAAATACTGTCTAATGATAACTGTGAATACTCAGATAAGAATACTGAATCAGAGGATGAGGATACAGAGTCAAATGGAAGTGCGGTGTCAGAAGATGAGGTTGAGTTTATCGAAAAGCAGGAAGATATTGGTTCAACAAATAAAGTTGTGAATAAATGGAATTCTTTTTTAGAAGAAGAAGAGGAAGCCATAAGTGAATTAAATGAAGATACTATAAATGAATTAAATGAAGATACCATAAGCGAATTAAATGAAGATATCATAAGCGGAAAATCAGATTTTAATGGTCATCCCGCTGTTGCATTGAATGCTAAGTGGAAATTAGTAACTCTTTTTGATAAAAACAGTTTTAAACATCCGCCCTATATGAATTTATTAACACAATAGATTTATTTTATATGCATTTGAGGCTAGAATTAAATATAAACACTATATTTGTTATGAACAGGTCAATAACATTGCAATTGCACCTCATGTTATTTGGCTTGGCATAACAATATATAGAATATAAGTTAAAAGGTTAAAAACAAAGTATTTATATATTATCAAACATTCTGCAGAAATGAGTAATCCTAACGAATCATTTTTATTATTTACGGATTGGGGTTAAAATAGATAAGCATAAAATATTTATGCGCAAATTCTAAAACATTAGTAACTGTAGTTAACTGTATCGGGATTTCTTAAATAAAATAAAGCAAATAAAACCGAATTATATAAAATTTTTTAAGACCAATAGAACATTAAAAGAATTAGTTGATTCAAGAAATTTTCGTATACACTTACAAATAACTAACATATTAGCCCGTGCCTCTAGCACGAGGTTAAAGGATTATACCGGTAGTTATTTAAAATTAATTCATATTTTTTTGGGTGCTCTCAAGCGTCATTCTGATGTAATTATCAAAGTGATTGCAATGGCACTCAAGCAAAATTATATTTACATAAAATTTTTATTGAGAATTCGAATATGTAATTTGTGTAATTGAAATTTTCAAAGCATCATCTTCAATGTGATTAGTTAGTGATCGTAATAGTGCTCATTTAATAGAATTAATTGAAATAAACATTGCAATCAATATTTGAACGGTTCTTTTTTATTCGTCAAAAATAAAAAATAAATGAAAAATAACAAAACCAACTGTTAAACAAGAAGCAAATACTGTGAATTATCGAAAATATTCTGGCGAAGCATCAACTTCAGCAGCCCCTGTTGATCCGTTTACTGACTTCACCAATTATAATACGTTATTCTAATAATAATATCTCATCTCTCCATTTTTATGAATCCATTAGTTGTAAATAAAGTTGCTATTGAATACAAAAAGGTGTTATTTGCATATATATTTAGAAATATAATAATTTAATAATATTTTTTTTGTCAAAGGCGTCAAATAATTTAGAAACAGTTTTTAATAATTATTCTTCGGATATGGATTCTACCTCAGCATAGCGGGCTTTCATTGTAATTGGCTGATTTTTGTAGATCATCTCATCACATGGGAAAAATATTATTGGATAA